CCTATATCAAAGTTGCTAGACTCATTCATTTCATTTGTAAAATTTTGTTATAAACTTTTAGAAAACATAGAATATGACACATATAATTAATTTATTGTCTTTATAATGTTCATATTCAAAATATAATTTAAACATGAATCCATTTCAGTAATAAATTTACTTTATATATTGGTATTAATTGCATCAAAACCTGCGAATTACTTACTGTTCTCCTAATCCAGAAAAAGTTAAACAACTTAGTATTTATAGTTGTAGTAACTAGTTTAAAACATAAACATACTTTATATAAACAATATCTCACATAATGCAGAAATATTTATTTGATTTTAGCTCTTGTAAAAGCAAACTAATTGATGAAAGGCGTATTCATATTACGACGGTTTAATTCAGAACATTCAAACATTGGTCTCAGAATTTAAATAATTATTTTATTGAGACTTAATTTATGTTAGTTATAATTTGTTCTGATCTTAGTTTAATTTAAATTTATTCTAATATCCTATCAATTAGGATAAGTTCAATAAGTGGATCAGAGTTTTAACGAGTTATACCCAAAAATCTTGCCTCTATATTTGTTACAAAAATAATTTAAATAGCTAGTAAAATCCACAATCACATTGATGTACATTCAGCACAACTTTTTTTCCCTCCCAAAAAAGCGTAACAACAGAAATATTCATCAAAGATAATATCATTGGGGCATAATGAAGACTGTCATTTTTTATATAAAATGAAGCTTCATCTCCTTTTTAATCCATTGTTTTGCATGACAGCTTATTTAAACTTCCTGAGCTTTTTTTGATTAACAGTATAAATATAGAAGTATCATTATAATTCGTCATATCAGAATATATTTTTGTTGAAAATAATAATATCCAAATAAATTTATAACTATTCGTTGCAGTATATTTTTTTGTTTCTCTCAGCATCTGGACCAAAATAGTTTTCCTAATATTCCAGCAACTTCTAATTATTTTAGTATTTAAAAAATGCAAATATATATTCACTAAACCTTGTCTCAAAATTAGGAAAATTATTTTTGTTCTTAATTTAAGTTAATAAAAAATGTACTGCATGAAAGGTGATTCATGATGCAGAAGCATTTATTTCTCAATTGTTTTGCTGTTTGTGTGAACTAGTGTCATACCATTGAAAAAGTATAAATTTTTTCGTGAAAGATACTATATATTTTTTGTCATATGTAAATTTGTAGGTCAATTTTATATTTAGCATTCTTGTACAGCTTTTTAAAACAACCCAAACTGCAAAGCTCTTAAGATATATTTATAAACATTTTTATATTCTAAAACTCACTAAAATAATTTAAAACATCCATAATATCTGCATATATAATTTTGCTGGTAAATCAATACCTGAACCAAAATTGTTCTAGATATTATAAAGATTTTAGCAGGCAAAGAATTCGAATAAATACATAGTCACATACATATGTAAACTTCCCTTTCATCATTTATCCAATTTGTCTAATTTTGGTGGAAATTAAAAAATCTGTTTGTATCTTTTAGTTAAGTTATTGCACATATTTTTGTTCTGCTACATTTTATTTTTTGTAGAAAAAATCTACTTGAACTGAGTTATATTGATAACACTTGTGTAAAATTTAATCTAAACGTCTCCTTAACATTAAGGATATTATTTTTGTTCTAGTTAATATAAAATATACTATATGAAATTTCTTTATTGCACAAGAACTTAATCTTATATTCAAGCTCTTAAATAAGTATAATTTATTTTTTGTGATAGATATACATTCCTTTGTACCTTTGCTTGATAACTTTTATAGCATGAGCTTTTTTGTGAATAACTGGTTAGAGCTTTGGCCTTTCATTCAGAGAATTTCAGATCGGATACGTACTACTTCGGACTACTACTACCTGATAGCCTCAGACAGCCTGATTTCAAGCAATATTGTCATGGCAATAAATGTATTCGTAAAATAAATAACAAGTTTAATTGAGCAAAACCATTGAAATTTACAATGAGTAAAATAATTGGCCAGCCCTTATCCTATTGTGTATTTTGACTAAAAATAATCCTCACCTTGCATGAGGTTGATGGAATGTTCTGAGAACGAGTCGCTTGTTTCTGTAATAAATATTTCGAGACTTTAAATTTAATAATAAGTTTATGACCGCAGCTTGAATTATATTCGCCACTGTTTACTATATTTATGGCATCATTAGTGTGCTCATTTTGTTTGATGATGATGACTAATGGGACATGTTTAGCAAAAAATTTGAATACTATATTTATGGCATCATTAGTGTGCTCATTTTGTTTGATGATGATGACTAATGGGACATGTTTAGCAAAATATTTGAATTTTTTCGTTGACGTTGATAGGTAAATGATAGAGGACGCAAAAATTGTTGATATAAAGGAAACTTTGCTTCATGAAAATGTATACTAACAGAACATTACTACAGAAGGTCGAAAAGAGAATAAATTGTTTAATTGAGAATAAATATTTATTTAAGAAAAATGAAAATAACTGTCCAATATTGAAACTTAAGAACGAATAAAAAATTAGCAATTGACTCGAGGAGTTGCAATCTTAGCTTAGTGAGATCTTATAATTAAAAAGTAATGAAAATAAAAAAATATAAACATTTTGATTAATAATTCTTATTAATTTATAAATGAAGAATAAAGTAAAAAGTAAATAAATTATTGATAATAATAATGCAAAAATTGTATTCGTAAAATAGAAAAAAGTAGAATCAATTGTAATGTGATATTAATTTTTAATTGTTATGTTTTGATATAAAATCAAATATTTCACTAAAAAAATTAGTTGAATCGAATTTTGATATAAAATCAAATATTTCACTAAAAAATTCGTTGAATCGACTTTTCGGCACTAAAGTGCCATCATACAACACTTCAAAGTATGATATATTCTTATATAAGTACTTATTTGCATAGATTAGAAAATAATATGAAAAAATAAGTTTCAGTGTATTTAAAAAAACATTTTTTTTAATAATCAATTGCTGGTCTTCTAATAAAGTAATTATTAAAAATCTATCATAATATATAGATTTCCACATGTAAAAGGACCGTTAGAAGTGCATATATATATATATATAATATATATAATATAAATATATATATATATATATATAATATATATATATAAATATATATATTATATATATATATATATAATATATCATTCCAAAATAATTTCATGTTTATTTATTTTATGCAATCGCACTTCAGAAATAGTGCGAGGCATACATATTTGCATATATATATATATATATATATATATAATAATCTGTACATTGAAACTACATTGCAAACTGGTTTTTCTAAAAGAATTAATTTAAATAAAAATCATATAATAAATAGAAATACTACAAGTACAAAATAAAAACACAAATAAATAATAACATAAAAAATAGTTAAAAAATTACCAGAAGTCATATATGGTAAGAAAAACGATAATCAATAATTCTATATTAAAAACCAGAAGTTTTAACTCCAATTATAATATTATTTCTCACTATGTGATTTTAATATGTTTAAACAAATTCATTCACCTAATAATTAACTTACAAAAAATTGTAGAATCAAAAATATGATATCATATAGAAATGAATGTGTTGTCTTTAAAACACAATTTTTTCGTGTTTGAGTTTTCAAGAAAAGAAAGATTATTAACTTCCCGTAGGGCAAGTTATAGTAATCGCAAAAAAATCGTAAATGAAAATTTTTATATATCTTTACGTTTCAAAGATTTCTGAATATTTCAGCATACCTTAGAAAAAATGGATGTATGTGTGTGTGCGGATACAAATTTTCGTCGACGATTTCGGAAACACCAGTCAACCGATTTGAATAATTCAAAACACATTCGATTCGTATTGATAAGGAGACGTACTGATTAGTTTTTGGCGAAGGCGGGTCTAGCAGTTCCGAAAATACGTGGCAAAAAGTGCCGAAAACGGTAACTCAGTTTTTAAGAGAACATTTTACTTGTTTTGACAAGATGAAGAATTGATCAAATTTTCATGAAAATAGGTCTAGCGGTTTCGGAGATATAGTGAAAAAAGTAAAAAAAAGTGCCATTTGGCGGTCAAAAATGATTTTTTTTTTTCAAAAAAAGTAATTTTTTGTCAAATTTATAGTATCTCAAAAATCTATTTTTTTCGTAATAATTTTTTTTTCATCAATGTTGACCTTTTTAAAAAATTAATAATTTTTGGTACGGAAAGTTCCAGCAATTTGCCTTAAGGCACGATGCCATGCGCCCCACTAGTTTATTATATAAGTTATACAGAAAAAATAATTTATTTAATTTAATTTGAAATATAGAAGATTATAGAATGGTATACAGTTGGTCTTTGATAATAGCATACTTTATAAAAATAATTAAATATCAATCTAAAATATAAAAATTTTAATATCAAATGATATATTGTACAAATATCACACAATTTTTTTTTTTTTTTTATAAATTCTTTAACAGCGATCAGAACTTATGAGTTCTATGAGCTGTTGTGATCAATTATCTTATTATTATAGATGGCAACCCAAACAGTTGTCCCATCTCTATGTGCTGAATTATTACAATTGCTGTAATAGTGATGACTTTTTATTTCCAAGTGGCATGTTGCCACTACAGCTATGCCCACGAAAGGCCATTTTCACTTGAAATCATATTTGAAATCTATGATATATCATACAATTGATTAATAAAAACTTTTCAAACCAAAACAAGAATTTTATCTTATAAAAAAAAGAAATAGTTTCATTATTAGCTGTTTAGATAACTGTAAAATTAAAATTTAAGTTATATAAACTATGATAATGGTTGGTTTGAAAATATGAGGCCAATTTAAATTTATAAAAATATAATAATAACTAACATTTTGTTTGATAAACCCCAGCTAACACAAAGCGTTAAACAATTTGATTATATAAATATTATATATATATATATATATATATATATATATATAATAAAAACTTACCTTATATCTTGTTTAAATTCCAAGCAGTTTTTCAGATTGATATTGTTAACACATTTACAAACAACTATAAACAATTTAATAAAAACAGAAAGTCTTTCTAACGTGACATACAAAACACAATTTGTAACAAAGTCTTTTATATTTATAATATATTGTTCCAGTAAAATCACTATCGAAACTGTTTTATATTTTTTCTAAATTTTTTACCATATGTGTATAAATATTTATCACTCGGAAAAACATAAAATTTTCAATTAAAAATGGATTTAAAATTCCGATTACCAATGTGTTTCAATTATCGAACACGTGATGTAAATATTATCATCGTACTGAGGTGTGCTTGTCCTTTCCAAAGCGGATAAATGACTGGCGCACACTTGCCATAGTACGCGAATGTTTTGATGGGAAGTTAGCCGCGCGCCTGCCCAGAGGCGCCTTTCCATAGATATTCAACTATCGGTAGTTATATAGATATAGATATAGAGGATTCATTGATGATAGTTTAACGGTGGTATTTAGATTATAAATGGTAGTAACATCAGACCAAGGGTAAAATATTACGGAATTTACAGGTTTTTTTTATTCCCATATAATTACAAGCTGCCTAGAAAAGCATTTAGTAACTTTATTGGCTAATGTGTTGAATGATATTTTAAAATGCTAAAAATCAGAAGTAGTCATTTTTAATTTGAACAAGTAAAATGTTTTTTGAATCATTCAAATAGGGCGCTTCCCTATATACATTGATACACACACTTCATACATACATCCATTTTTTTAATGTAAAGACATGCAAAAATGTTCATTTTCGATTTTTGCAATTACTATAACTTACCCTACAGGAAGTTAAAAATATGGGACTGGTTCTACCGTAAAATAGACCAATGTGTCGTAGAACCAAGGTGACTTTTAAGATCAATGTGACGTAAGGGCTTTGTTACGTAGCACTTCTCATACAAAATGGTACCAAATACTGTCAAAATTCTATATGGTTGCTGTGTAATCAGACGTTTTAGATAGAAAACCTAACCTAAAAAACTTTGGTAATTTATTTTTGGTAAAAGATTTGGTATAATAACATATGAGTAAAGTTACATCTTATGTATACAACGCCTAATCGCACAGCGAATCCATGGCATGTTGACAGTATTTAGTACCTTTTTGTATGAGAAACGTAACATAACGTTACATTGGTCTATTTTACAGCAGAATCGGCCCCTAAATGGAAAACACATACAGAAAAAATAATAAAAATTCTAAATTACATATTGATTATGCTAAATTTAATCTTTTAGGTCTTTCAGCTGTTTTTATAAAAAGCAAACCCTTCGCAAGCTGATTCAGAAGGTTTTCTTCTGTTACTGTATACATGTCGGAGTCTTGGCAGATCAGTCAATTTGGGACGTACTTGGGTGCCTCTAATATGTTTTAAGAATCATATTCTGTGACCTTTGCAAAATGTTTATGAGGGTTCGGCCTGGGCTAGCTTTATGTAACAGCATTTTTAATAGATTTTTGTTCACTTTTTGTTGGCTTTATTTCTCTAGCATTTTGCTACTTACAACATTTTTGACATTATATTTTTTGAGTTTCTTAGCATTTTCCAAGTATATCAACTTTGACAATACCAGGATTTGATCCCAGTACGACTTATAATGCATCCTCATTATTTAGAAAAATGTACCTTGTGATGATTAAACTCAATGAACTCGTGTAAATATGATTGATTTCACTTACACTTGTTGTTGTAAGTTATAAAAATTCACTAATTAGATATAATAGTAAATTGGGGTTTTACATTTTTTTTATCATAACGCTGATAGAAGAGCTTGCCCGTGTTTTAGTGGACGAAGCTTTGACCTTTCAAATTTGGCCATTGGACATCAAGCAGCCGATGGCACCGGCTGCCAATTAAAAGTCAAATTATCATCAAAATTAGAATAGTACAACCATTAAAATGGCTTCTGCTAAAAATATAATAAACATAGAATAAGACAACCATTGGGTTGCTTCCTACTACAAATTATAAAAAATAGAATGGGATTATAATTGAATAGCTTTCTATTAAAAATATATCAAAAATAGAATGGGACAAGCATTGAGGTACATTTTACTAAAATTATATAATAAAAAAGAATGAAAATGGTTACATCAGAATAGAAGAAAATAAATAACATTTATATTATAAAAATTATGCGTTATAATTTATATTTTCTGGTGGATCTATCAATTTTGAAAATCATATGAATAAACACTTATGATCTCTTTTCTCTCAGCAAACGTTTAAAGTGACTAAAATATTGTCTCAAAAGTTCTATATTTAACTCTGCCATCAGGATAAATTAATCTCAAAGACGCGATCCGTATAGGTAGTGCCAACACTTATAGCGGTTCCATGGTGTAATGGTTAGCACTCTGGACTTTGAATCCAGCGATCCGAGTTCAAATCTCGGTGGAACCTGATATTTTTTTTTTATTTATATATATATAATATTTTTTTTTATTTATATATATAATCATATGAATTAATATATATTTAATTCAATGGAAACGAAAGATAATGAATTGTTATGACTCCTATGTTTGTAGGACCATTAAAAGTGAGTATACATAGTTTTTTATAGTAATTTCTATAGCTTACTACTATTTTAAGCATTCCAAGCCAATTTTATAGTTATCAAAGCCTTAATTATTTCCGTTATCATATTATCTTACAATTTTCCAAAATGGATCTTTTTACTAATTGGTTACTTTACCAATACCACAAAATTTCCAATCGATATATGCCAAGATTGTTAGTTGAAACGCAAATGTATCAATTACCAATCTATGACTCAAAGAAAGAATATTGACTTATATTAGATAATGACCCAAAGAATATAGGGGAGATCTGTGTTCTTTGGCTAATATAACGTTCTGTGCTCTAACGTTCTACTTTTTATAAGAAAAATTGATATTGTATGGACAATCATTGGAGAAGATATGATTAATTATATTTATAATCTTACACAATTTTTTATATGTCGAGCGAAAGATAAATGTCCTAAATATAAATTTTGATGAAATGCACTATTAGCATGCATTAAATTGTAAAATAAGTTTCTTGAATCATTAAAATTTTAATCTAATTAAATATTTTTTAAGTATTAATTATTAAGGCCCAAATTACACGAATGAAAGTACTAAACAAGAGTCGAGTTGTAGCTCGATAGAAAATGTTTGAAAAATATTTATAGATTTACATAAATATCCAGGAAAAATACTCTTCGTTAATATTGGTGGATAATTTCAACACAAACTGAAAATTGAGGTAAATAATATAGTCCCACAATTTTAAATTAATTATTCACTTTTAAAATCTGCACAAAATTAACATTTTTTCAATATTAAAATATTTTCAAATTCACCTGGAAAATTATGTATGTTTCTTCAGAAACTGAAATAATGATTTAAATTAATGAGTAGAGTAGCCATCGTGAAGAAATTCAATTAGAAACAATCTTTAATTCATTACATCCATTTATTAAATAAATTAAATAAGTTTAAATATAAATATTATAAAGTTTTTTAACTTCTGGAAGATTTTTATCTTTTGAACATAAAATCTGTTCTTTCTAGACGTACCAACTCAAACATTTAATTATAACTTTATCAGAAAATCTTGGAGCAATTTTAAAAATTATATTAATTATTTAGTGGAAATGCTTGTCGAATAGTTTTATATAAACGAAAGCTGAAGAGTTTTTATATATCTAGTTCATAATTATTTTTAATTCAGTCAATTTGTAAATTTTAATTACATTAATAAACATTCTTCTTCAAAATTCTTGGTAATTAGCGGTTAATATAAATTCAAATCAGTACTTGCTGACGTAATAGATGTAGTAATACGTCATTTTATGTCCCAAAACCAGAAGCTATTGACGTTATTTTTATGGTGAATCTAGTAATTGCCGGCGTAAAAATGCGTCATTCTTTATTTGAAATCATAAACTAAATAATTCATAGCTAAGATATCAGGATATCACTTATATTTAATTCCTCATCACCTCAGTTTCACCTATAGAAATAGATTGAGATTGGGAGTGGGCAGTAATTGAGAACATTATCGAAAGCGACAAAGTCCTCGATGGCGCATTTAATGAATATACGACGAACATTTCCCCTTAATAATGTGAAATTTAATCATAATATTTCAGAATGATGTTACGGAATGTTCCTTTCAACTTTGCAACAGAATTAATATATATGTATCTGAAAAGTTTCACACTAAGCATTTGTTGAATTATTCGGGAAATTTGGAGTATGTATTTAATAAAGCGTGGATAATAAATTTGTTTAAGTCATATAAAATGTGATTAAATTGTTTGTCATGTGTTTAAATTATATAAGAAATTTGTCTACAAAGTATTAATGATCTAGAATATTTTTTACAGAATTTGCTTTTTATAGCAAAGAATTTTTTCGCTGAATTTGCATTTTATAGCATTTTTTCTTTTCAAATGCCTAGTGTGTACAATATCTTAAAAATACTGATCATTAATTATTAAATGATAAATTATTGTGAGTTGTAAAAAAATCGAAATATTATTGGTTTTTCAATTTCAGTTTCTATATTAATTTTGGCATGTTTTTTAGAGAGCAATACGTATTTCCCTCAATTTATAATAATTCAGAAAACTTCAACGTGGATTTCCTATTGTCAAATATTGTCTTTGCGATAGAGAATAAAATATAAAATCTCAATCAATTTAATAATATAAAATTTTGGGCTAATATTAGCTATTATAAAGAAGACAGGTTCTAATCACAGAGGATGATGTGCAAACATATCCACAATAAACTAATAAAAACAAATTCTTGTTTGTACTAAACTTTTCTCAAGTTTTTTTTTCGGGAATACTTATTCAAGGATTTCATTGTTTAACTTGGAACTCCTCTCAATTTTACTTCTCGTTTAGGTCGCCAAATATTTGCATTTTCTGTTTTGTCTTCTTAATCTGTTCAAGGTTTTAATATTTTTCAAATTGATAAAAATAAGATTCTTTAATTTTAATACTGTAT